TTCCAATGTGAAGATCTCTCAAAGATCCTTTTGGTGTCCAAATTTGAAACGAATTGGCCAAATATTAAGCTTATTCTAACATTTTGTGCCATATGACACTAATGCGGTTTAAAGGGTTAACTGGTTTGTAGTTTAGCATGTTCTTTGATTTAAGAACTTACGCATATCTTCCATTTACAGGCGGTGGTTATGACAGTGGAGGCTATGGAGGGTATGGAGGAGGTGGAGGAGGCTATGGAGGAGGAGGTGGCTTCGGAGGAGGAGGAGGCAGAGGCTATGGAGGTGCAAGCTATAGTGGAGATAGGGGCTATGGAAGTGGTGGTGGCTACTATTAAGAGGAGGTTGTGGACAAAACTACTGGCATTAAAGGTATAGTGTGTTGATGCTCTTGCATTTTAGTTGATAGAGCAGCTTTTTAATGATGTAAATAGTAGTGAACAGAGACTCGCAACACTCAGGTTTGTGCATTTGCTCATCTCTAGACTGAGGTAGGCACAAGCCTAGTAGTGAAAAACAGTTTTGTCCTACTCAAGGCTCATCAGCATTGTGTAAGGCATGGTGGTAATGTGAAAAAGTTCTTATTTCTCCCACCTTGAGCAGTGATTGGATCTCACATGGTGGAGCAAATGCACAAACCAGAGTGTAGTGAGACCATTCTCACATTAAACATTCATGTGATTATTATGCTCCTCAGGATAATAAGTGCTCTCTTTGAGTAACTCTTTGTTCCATAATGTAATAACAAAATTAATGTTCTGTTGGTTAATTTAAATTTGTGGCTTGAGAAGACCCTGTTTTTCCATTGATCTCTTTTTCACAATGATATTTCCTACAGAGGAACACGACAATAAATATTTATTATTGCACTACTTAGCTTTCTCTGGCTACATGTGTGTTGGATCCCAACCACCACCTTAACTTAATAGTCATTTGGAGGAGTTGACCTAAAAGAAAAGAGCATAAATTTGTCTGCTCTTTTTGTAGTAGATGGACATACATTATTGATCTGTTTTCACAGTTTTCATAATTTGCAACAATTCCTGAGCCCATCAGGCAAGATAGCACTACAAGCTTTGACCATTTTAGTCACCATGGCCAGTGAAAAAATCATTTGGCAACTAAACAAACAGGTTGCCAATTTGGTGACCGGTGCAGTACAAAAGGTTGCTTGCTCATCAGCAAGGTTTTCTTTTGTATATTCACTAAACCAAATGAATTCAACTACAATTTTTGCATATTT